CATTCCAAAAAAAGATTTTTAAAAAATATTCAAAAAATAATAATAATTCTCTTTCCCCACCCTGAAGGCTTTCACATCTCTACATCCAGATAAATTCCACTGGACTCATGTAAGGTTTTTTTGTTTTTGTTTTTTGGAAAGTCCAAGCTGATCTTCTGTATCGACGTTTTTAGATTACTCTGGGCAATGAATTTCTGTGTTGGTGATGCCTCAGTTACTAGAAGAAAAGAGACAGCATTATTATTATTTTAATGCAGTTCTCTTCCAGAAACCACATAAGCCATCACTGGTAACTTTTATAAATATGTATATACACAAGCTCAGTTCTGAAGCTGCTTCCAGAAATGTTTTAATCATTTAATAGCTCTGGGACTTTGACACTGATGCACTCCTCTAACTACTACGAACAAAAGAAGAGTACTGCCCCATCAGACCAGAGGTCCATCTAGTCCAGTATTCTGCACTCATAGTGGCCAAGCAGATGCAACTGATATTTTTTTTTTGACACAGCGTATGAATATTAACATTTCCGTTAATTTTATCTGCCTTTTATTTAGTTGGAAATTATAATAACCTTCCGTTGAGGCAATGCCACACTGTCTGTAAGCCTGCTGTGTATGCTGTTTTTGTATGCACTGTCTTTGTTCAATAGCGTGTTGCTTCTGTTGCAATTCCACCATGAGAGCATAGGCCAGCTTCATCATTTTGAAAAATAAACTACTGTAAATACTAATGCACCCCCTACTTTGCATGGGATTAAAATGATGCATACAAGTATTTCTGCTTATGGGCAAAGACAGGTGGAGGTGGGAGTAATGTTTTGTCCTAGAACCTTCAATAGAGAGACAGCCGAATGCCGTATTAGCACCTCAGTAAAGGCTGAATAGCAGAGAGGGTGGTGAGTTTTGATGTATAACATTGCAATAGTTAGGCCAAAATGCTGAGCTCCACATATTATTTTTGAAAGAAAGAAAGAGGAGAAAACCTTAATGGAAATATTTTCCACACCAGATGCACTCTGCGCCGTCTTCTATTATTCTGTTTGCAGACTACTTCCACTAACTGGTTTCATATACTGCATTGCATTTGCGTTTATCTCCCACCCTTTTCTCCACGGAGCTCAAGGTGGCTTATGTGGTTCTCCCTCTCCTCATTTAATCCCCGCAACAACCCGTGAGGTAGGTTAGCTTGAGAGTGAGTGACTGGCCCAAACTCATGCAGTGAGCTTCACTGCTGAGTGGGGATTCGAACCTTGCTCCCCCAGGACCTGTTCTGACACTCTGACCGCTACGCCACCACTGGTGAAATTTGCAAATTTCACTGGGTCATTTTGAATCCCAAACTTTGCAACAATTTATAGTAACAAATTACCAAAATGTTGGAGTTTCCAAAACTGATTTTAGGCTGTGGCTTTAAATGCACCCTGACAAAAACAAAAGTATAGGAAATTTTAATGAGAAGCTTTATAACCCAAGGTCAGGTGGACTATCAGTCACATGATTCCACAGATGGGATGCAACCGCTCCCCTCATCCCTGGCCACTGGCCACGCTCGCTTGGGCAGATGTGAGCCGGAGTTCAAAACTTCTGGTGGGCACCAGCTTGGGGAAGGCTCGCCTGATGACCTCTAACAGCTTCAGGCAACCACCGAAGCGCAGAAGAACACTGACCTTTAGTCCCTTCCCCTTCGCGAAATTGCCACAGTGCTGGCAGCGCAAGATACCCTCCGGGGCTGCCTTTATCACATGCTGCCACTTCTGCTTTTGTGGCTGGTCATCACATGGTGTTGCAAGGCGATAATGCCGCAGCAACATCAGCAGGTTTCCGGAGGGTGAGCTCGAGTCTGCTGTCGGGGTTACAGACGTATCATGTGGATTTGTATCTGGAATCTAAGAGCGGAGTTGCAAAAAAACGGGTGGCCAAACTAGGCATGATGGGAATCATGTGAGCGGTCCTCTTCTGTTTTTGTTGTTTGTTTGCTTTTTTACCATATAGCAGCTGTGGTGTGTGTGTGTGTGTTAATCTTGATCAGCACCAGGGAATGTGCAAGAAGGGATTTAACCCTTTGCTCCCCACTGTTCCTAAGTTAGTAGAGGATGGGGGAGAAGGCAAAGTTTGCAAAGAGCAATGTGTGACTAGTGTCAGAGCTACTTTGGCCATGAGGTGTCTGAGAGCTGGTGTCAGGGACTGAGTGGACACTGAGCAGTGGTGGGTGGATTCTGATGAGTGGGCACTGGGAGAAAGGGGGTTGGGACTGACTTGGAAGAAGGGAACAATGATCTGGGGGAGCCTGTAACAGCCAAGAGTCAGAGGGCAAGAGAAGCTGCAGGACTGGAGAGTGAAGAACAGGTGCAGGAGGAGAGAGAGAGGTCAGGCTGATGTAGAACCAAGAGCTTCTATGCCTCCACCTCCTGCCGCACCTCTCCTGCTCCACTGGCTCCCAGGACCAGTCGAGGAATGGAGAGGGAGGAGCAGAAGCTTTGGGTTGCAAGTCTCATCAGCCCCAGTCAACACAGCTGTGGTTCAGGTACAGATGGTATGGGAACCAAGCAGGTCCTGGCAGCTGAATAATCTTCAGTGACTGTTGCATGATATACGATATCTTTATTGTCATTGTCCCATACAGAACAATGAAATTGAAAAACTACATAAAACATTCAAAACCCCCTAAAAACTCTGAAACCCCATTTTAAAATACAATATACCATAGAGACTCCTTACACTGCGTTTAGAACCAGAATCGCATTTGCGTAGAAACTGTTTCTCAGGTGGCTAGTCCTGGCCTTTATAACCCTATACCTTCTTCCAGACGGCAGAAGCTGAAGAGATTCCGGGGTGCGCACTATCCTGCAGCTTTCTTATGGCACCTGACAGCATAGATTTGATCCAAGGTGGGAAGAGTGCACCCAATTATTCTCTCCGCAGTCTTTACAACCCTGGACAACATTGTTTTTCCCCTGGCCGTGCAGCTCCCAAACCACACACACAGACCATAAGTTAATACACTCTCCACAGTGCAATGGTAAAATGCCATCAACAGGTCCTTTGAGAGATTGTTTTTCCGGAGGATTCTCAGAAAATATTGATGAAGGAATCTTATTGATGAAGGAAAGTTTCGTGCATGCACAGGGCATGTCCTACAACACTGATGGCTTCCAGAGAGTGGACATTCTGCTCTGGCATGGCTCATTAGTGGGTGGGGGTTGCAGTCATGCAGCTGAAATTCATTTCCTAGTGGGTGGGTGAGGGGTGAGAGACTAACAAGCAAGAGTCCATGCGCTGAATGAGGCCAGCGTTACACACAGCCCACAGTTCTGTCCAGATACATTTGGGGAACTCTAAAGCAGGCCGGATGTTGTGCTTGCAAACGACACTCTCCAGGAGCAACAGTTTCCTTTATGTTTGTCACCTGAACTCTGTATGGCTTGTAGAGAGGGAGCTCTGTTGCGTATGGTCCAGACTGTTTATGGAACATCCGAAGCATGGCTGCCTCCAGCTGTAACTATGACAGAATTAGTGAATCTAGACAGACCGAGAGCTAGGTAAAACAGGGATAATCTGGCTGCATAGCTTGCAACCTGAAGCTTCCTTACTAGCAAGCAATCCTTCATTAAAATAATGCAATAATAATATAATAAAAATAATGAGCCCCAGTTGTACTACTGCTGCAGCAGAAAAATAAACCAAAAAAAGTGGGCCTTGCGCAATGCTGTAATTCCTAGAAATGGGCTGTGTGATAATATTAACATTTAGTATTATCAACATATTAAATAATTATATAATGCTATAATAAGAAAAATGAGCTCAATTCTGCTGCTTCTGCAAGAAAAAAAGTGGGCCTTGTGCAATGCTGCGATTCCGACGTAGGGGTTGCGTGATCATAATATCAGTATTAATAACAATACTATTTAGTAATAAGGGACGCGGGTGGCACTGTGGGTTAAACCACAGAGCCTAGGACTTGCCGATTGGAAGGTCGGCAGTTTCGAATCCCCGTGATGGGGTGAGCTCCCGTTGTTCGGTCCCTGCTCCTGTCAACCTAGCAGTTTGAAAGCACGTCAAAGTGCAAGTAGATAAATAGGTATCGCTCTGGTGGGAAGGTAAACTGTGTTTCCATGCGCTGCTCTGGTTTCGCCAGAAGCGGCTTAGTCATGCTGGCCACATGACCCGGAAGCTGTACCCCGGCTCCCTTGGCCAATAAAACGAGAAGAGCGCCGCAACCCCAGAGTCGGGCACGGCTGGACCTAATGGTCAGGGGTCCCTTTACCTTTTATTTAGTATTAATAATATCTTATATAACGTTAGAATAAGAATAATGAGCCCCAATTCTGCTTCTGCAAGAAAAATAAACGAATAAAATGGATAAAATGCTGCGATTCTTGCAAAGGGGCTGCGCGTAACATTAACCGTAATATAATAATCAGGACAATAATCGTAATCACAAGGAGCCCCCGTCGTGCCCTGGCAGCAGCAGCAGCGGCCAAACTAACAGTCCAGGAAGAGGAGCAGGGGGCAAATCCTTCCGCCCCCCCCCCACCTAGGCCCGCCGAACCCGAGGTGGGAAGTGGGAGGAGCCACCCTGGCGCGCCGCAGCCAACCAGCGCCGTCCTCTCGGCCGTCCAATCGGCGGGCTGCTTCCAAGCGTCGGCCCGTGGGCGGGCCTTGGCAGGGGGCGGCGCCGCCGCGGCCTCCTCCGCCTCCTGTGAGGGAAGGAAAGGCGGGCAAAGCGAGCGGGCGAGGCGAGGGAGCCGAGCGAGGAGGGAGCTGGCGCGGCCGTGAGGGGAAGAGGAGAGCGCGGGAAGAGAAGGAGGAGAGGGGACCCGGAGGATTGCCGTCCGCTGAAGCCGCCGCTCCGCCGCCGGGAATTTACCTCAGGCTGGGCTAGTCGCCTTCGCCGCCGTGCATGGAGCGGCACCGCGGTGGCGAGGGCGGCGGGCAGGCTCGGGAGCCGCCGCTCAGGAAGGGGAGGAGCAGCAGCAGCCGCAGCCGGGACTGGAGGAGCCCGCGCGCCTCGGGGCTCTGAGGGGGAGAGAGCGCGACACCCCCAGCCCCGCGTGCCTTCCTCGCCGCCCCCGCCCGACGGCCTCCGTCGCTTGGCAACCGTAAGTCTTCCTCCCTCTGAGTCATCCCGCCGCCTGCTCCGCCCCCCGACGCCCGCTGGCCACGCCCACAGGCAGGGCGCGCGAGAGCGTGCTTAGGGGGATGCCAGAGGGCCGACTTGGGATAAAATACTGGGGGCGGGGCCAGGCAAGCCCCGCCCCACATAATCACATGACGAGGGGGCACACACTACTGTATTTGAGTGGTAGTGCCCATCAACTGGGGTGAAGGGGGCTGGCCCCCTCAAATATTTCTTGGGGGGCGGTTGCTGAAGGCCCCTTGGCCCCTATGTTGCGAACATGTATGTGTGTGTAGATACATAGATATGTGTGTGTGTGTGTGTGTGTATATATATATATATATATATATATATTTGTGTGGGTGTCTGAAGGAAAGTTAAGTTGGTTATTAGCCAACGCTCTCCCCTCCCCTTCAGTCATTTTTCGGAAATTGGGCTGTCGCCCCCACCACACCACCTAATAAACTATAATTCCCAGATCGCCCCCACCCCATAAAATATAATCCCCAAATTGCCCCTCCAATGTGTTGTACCAGTTTGCCCTCACCCCAGTGAGCTATTACTGTACCCCCTAGATTGCCCCTCCAATGAACTATAATCCCCAAATTGCCCCCGCCCCAACAAGTTGCCAACTTTCTTTTAATAATAATACTTCCATCCTAGTAACTTTTTACTCAGAATACAGTAGACCCATCTGAAATGCATGGGCACGGCGAACCTTACAGTGAAGTGAAATTATTCATTCCTATGCATTTCAAATAATAATAATAATAATTTTTATTTATACCCCGCCCTCCCCAGCCAAGGCTGGGCTCAGAGCAGCTTACAAGCAATAATAAAAACAAGTTAAATGATTACAACTTAAAAACAAATTAAAAATACAACATTAAAATATTGAAACATTAAAATATTAAAATGTAGCCTCATCGCAGGAGAAGGAAAAGAAAAAAGAGGGGGAAGCACTCAAACTGATTCTAAGCCAAAGGCCAGGCAGAACAACTCTGTCTTACAGGCCCTGTGGAAAGAAATCAGATCCTGCAGGGCCCTGGTCTCATGAGGCAGAGCGTTCCACCAGAGCATGGAAAGGCCCTTGGCTCTGGTTGAGGCCAATCTAATTTCTTTAGGGCCCGGGACCACTAGGGTGTTGCTATTTATGGACCTTGTTTATGGGCCTGTTCTGAGTATGGCTAGCATTGGGTTCAACCCACAGGTTTTTTTTAAGGTTGTATTCAACTAACTTTTTACTTAGAGTAGACCCATTGAAATGCATGAGCATGACTAACTTAGTGAACCTAAGTTATGCCCATGCAGTTCAAGTGGGTCTGTTCTGAGTGTGGCTAGCTCACAGTTTCTAGCATTTGTGGAAGCTGAGATATGAGGTAAAACATACAGGCAATATACAGGCCTCTCTTTTTGAGAGTCGAAAGCTGGCCTGCCCTTTCTCCTCCTCCTCCCCCCCCTTTCTGCCCCCCCCCTCAGCCAGCCACTGGAAAAAAGATTCCTGTGGATGGATGCCCATGCTCCTCCCCCTCTTTCTATCTTAATTGTGGAATAGGGTTTGGGAGTTTGCTTGCTTGGGAGGAAGTCTCCCTGGTGCTTACTCCTAGGAAAGTGTGCATAGGCTACAGGTTTAACCTACTCTTGCTTTCTATTTATGCAGCTTATTTTTTCCATATGTGATAAATGAGAAATTATGTTTAGCTTATTAATTGGTTTCATGCACAATGTTATGCTCTGCACACTTCAGAAGAATACCCTCTTCATGTTACTTGCTTCAGCAGTTATTCTTCCTCACTCTGTCTCCATTTGCTTGAATCAATAAATGCATATTGATCTCTGTTTAAGGGCTGAGTTTAATGGAGGAGAGTCTTTAATGCCTGTGTCCCTCTCCTCATCCCCTTCTACAATGTCATTTCCCCCCCAATACACTGTGGTTGATATATTGGCATAACACTTCTGTATTTGGGTTGTGGTGGTGGAACTGGGTTTAGAAAATGCCCCTTGCTGTGGCTTTTGTTCTGCTTTCTGAGGTCATTATTAGACTAGATATTCTGTTCTTCCTCCACATGTTTGAAGAAGTACCCTTCAGGTTTACAGGCCCTTTCTTGTCTCCTTGTTGGAAAGTAGGATTGTACCAGCACAGTCTACTTGAGTATTGTCTACTCCATGGGTAGGCAAACTAAGGCCCGGGGGCTGGATCCGGCCCAATTGCCTTCTAAATCCGGCCTGCGGATGGTCCGGGAATTAGTGTTTTTTTACATGAGTAGAATGTGTCCTTTTATTTAAAATGCATCTCTGCATTATTTTGTGGGGCATAGGAATTTGTTCACACACACCCCAAATATAGTCTGGCCCACCACATGGTCTGAGGGGCGGTGGACCCACCCCCTGCTGAAAAAATTTGCTGACTCTTGGTCTACTCATATTGGCACCAGCTTTTCAGGGTCTCTAGCAGAGAACATGGTACATGATCTTTTTGCTGGAGATTTCAAGGGATCAGTCCTGGGACCTTGTGCATGCAATAAATGTGCTCTGCTATTGAGCCCTAGTCCCTTCACATTAGCAGGTGACCTTCAGCCTCATAGACACTGTGTGCAATAAGCGCCTTGTGGTGCTCCTCTCCAAGTATTTGGTCCCTCCTGAACATAAAAACCCATTCTGGACTGAATAGATATAGTTATTGGCTTGCCTATTGTAGACCTCTGTTTCTGGCAGTGCATCTTTGTAGCATTGAATGTCAGGTGCAAAAAGATCACACCCTCTTTCTGTATACATTAAGATAAATGTAGTGGGGGGCCTTAACTTCAAGGGGCATTGAGCATGTGCTGTGTTCAAGCCTATTTATGGCCACATCGTTATTTCCATCCCCTGTAGAGTGTGTGTGTGAAAAACCATTGCACTCCACTGGCCTCAGAGATGGAGATCCACAAAGATCATGCATAGATGGTTCCCTTGGACTGCACCCTACTTGAAAGTAAAGCCAGGCCCCTCCATGATGTTTGGCTGCTTTTTATTTCAAGAGAACAGTCTTATTCCTTCCCTGGTTCCATTTTCCCTGTTGACTTTCTCCATCTCTCTTGGCTTTCATCTATATGTTTTTGGGTGGGGAAAGAGCTGTAGCTCAGTGCTAGAGCAAAAGCATGCAGAAGACCTGAGGCCCAGTCTCTATATTTAAACCCACCGCCACCTGCACACACTATGTTTAATGGTTTTATCTTTTGCCTTCTTTTGCACTTGTCTATTGTAAAGCACCCAGAGAACTTTATGTTGTAGGACAGCATGCAAATGTCATAAGATGAATACACAGGGGTGGGGAAGTCTCCTGACTGAAGAGCCACTGCCTTTCAGTATAGAGACAATAGATGGACTAATGCCTCTCTGTAGATCAGTGGCTTTTCAGAATGGGTTGTGAAATACAGTGTTTCAAGATATTGTTATGAGTTACATTGTTAACTTGTTACTCTGTTAAAAGGCTTTAGCTCCAGGATGGAAAGAGAATAATTTTAGTGGGAAATAGCAGTGCTACTATGTATGCTTGGATGACTTAAAAACAAGAAACGAACAAACTAGGAGCCTTTCAAGCATATTGTTCCTGCAACATGGTGGCAAGGGACAATACAGCCTCAAGCTCCTAGACTCACTTAGCCTCTTATTCACCATTATTTGAAATAAACTTCCAGTGTGTAAAAGCAGAGAAACTTCTCAATCCATGCAGACTTTCTGCTTTCTGAATTTTGTGAAATTGCAGAATGGAAAGCCGTGAAGCTTTAGGGTCGAAATAAACTTTGAGTTATTCTAGACTTTTCAAGGAACTACTGTTTATGAGGACATGAATGAAATAAAAATGGATTCTGGATAGCTAACTTTGATGTTAACTGTAACACTTACACCCTGCTTCTGTACATGCTTTATTCAAAGTGAGTAGAAGCAGAATCTGAAACAAATGTTTGTATATAACTCACCAATAGAAGCGCTTTCAGAAAGTCATGCTATCCTGTATGATGCTATGAACTGCAAAGGGCTCAAGCATCACAAATCACATTGCCTTCTCCCCACTCTTCCCTTTGTGCTTTGCTTTTTGATTGTTTCTCCCATCTGACACAAAACATTCTTGGGCTTGGAGGCTACTGAGCATGCTCAGTCCACATTGGCCCGGTTTGGGGTTGTTGTTTTTAATGAAGGTGTTGTCCTTTTGCATATCCTGCTTCACCCAGACAAAACTTAAATTTTCCTGAGTTTGCTGTTAGAAGGCATAATGGGCCTTCAGCTGAACTTTCTTGTAGAAAAATGTTGTGCTAATATTACCATTCAATTACATTGCCTTTTGGACTTTCTCCAAAATTTCTTATGATGTATGATAGTAAAAAAACCTGAATTACTGTTTCTAAAACCTGATGATTAAACTTGGTTCACTAAAATATTGCTTTCATTTTCTACCTGTTCACTTTATTTGCCTAGCTAGCTAAAACTAAAATACACCTACATCCTTAGGGTGCAGCAGCTTGTATCTCCATTTTATGTAATTATATTCATAATTGTTTTATAATTATTGTTTGAATAGATGTAAGGTGTGTACACATCTAAATTTCACAAGTAAACCAATTGGCACAATTTTAGAGGCTAAAGTAGCACATGAAGCGGTTGGCACTGATTGCTGAAGTAAACCACCTTTTGGATTGGAGCATGCTCTTATTATATCACGGATTGCTGGGATAAATGTGCACAGAGGTTTATTTGTGCTAGGTAAGAACATAGTAAGCTGCTTTATGATACGTCGGACCGCTGGTCTTTCTGACTCAGGACTGGCATCAGTTCTCCAGGGTTTCAGGCCAGGATCTCATGCAGCTCTAGCTGGAGATCCTAGGGATTGAACCCGAGACCTTCTGCATGCAAGGCAGATGTTCTACCACTGGGCTGTGTGTTACACATTATAGCATAGGTGATGGTCATATGTGATGGTCATATGGCAAGTTGTAGCTATAA